TATTACTACCCAAAAGAATTGAAAATTAATCTAAGTGATAAATTAAATAATTTTTAGCTCCTGTCTGCTTTATAATTATTTATAAATATTCTCTGGTTGTTCAAAAATAAAAAATAATGATAAATAATTATTTGAACACCACCCTTAAAATCAAATAGCCACCCCTTGACGATAATAGTTTTTGTAAATATTTTAAAAAAATCTATAGATTCTAAATGCATCTAAATTATAAAAAAATGTTTCTAAGTGACAAAAATATGGATAATAATGTTAAACACCCCCCTTGGAACCCACCCCTATTTCATAATTATTCTCACATACAATCAATAGTTTTGAACAATTAAAAAAATAATTTTCATAGATTATTATATACGTTTCAAAAATACAAAAAAATATTTGTATGATGACTAGGTAATGCTAGTAAATGTAAACTAGCCTCTAAAAACAACCCTATGGTCAAACAACCATCCTTATAGCTTCTAAATGCTTCTAAATTATAAAAAAAGGTTTCTAACAGGTAACACTAGGGAACCGACAGACGCCGATTTTTTGAAAATTTGCATACAAGTAGTTCCTTGAAAAATATTTGACACGTGTTTTTTTATATCGGCCCAATTTTAGTTTAAAGGGTAGAAAACACCCTTTTTACATTTAAGGGATGAAAACAGCAACTCGGAGAAAACTCATTAGATTTTGATAAAATTTGTTACTCAGGGGTTTTTGAGGTCGCTGATTACGAATATTAAGTCTGTTTTTAAAAATTCAAAATGGCGGATCTAATATGGCGGTTGACATATTTAAAAACTATTTATATTCGCTCAAAACTTGTTACTCGGGGGGTTTTTGGGGTCACTGATTACGAATCTAAAGTTGGATTTTCAAAATTCAAAATGGCGGATGACAAATTTAAAAACTATTTGGATTCGCTCAAAACTTGTTACTCAGGGGTTTTTGGGGTCGCTGATTATGAATATATAATCTGTTTTTAAAAATTCAAAATAGCCGAACCAATATGTCAGATTAATTTTTAAAAATTTGTTTATTTTTATAAAAAATGTTTAAAAATTATGAAATTTGTTACTGGGGGGTTTTGAGATCGCTGATTACGAAGCTGGAGTTATTTTTAAACAATGTTGCAGAACAATGGATTGATTTTTAAGAAGTATTTTTTCAATTTTTAAAATTTTACAGATTTATTGAAAATAAGTTTTGGGATTAAATGGTTTTTGAGTAAGAATTCTTTTCTAAAGTTGTTTTTAAATAAAAATTATAAATTGAAGATAGAGCAGTAATGTGGCAGGTTTTCACCTTTTACTGCAAAGAAGTGCTGAATGCACATTGAGGTTTTGCACCAACCACATCTAATTATTGCGATATTATTGCACATTTCACATGAACTTTCGCATTTCGTCATGCAGAAGTCGACAGGTGTTTAGCATTTCTCTGGCTTTTCACCAATGTATCCACTTTTCCACCAAGCATATTTAAACAAATTCCTAAATCTTGGCGAGGAAAACTGATTATGTATTAACGATTGGATTTTAAGGATATTATCTCGTAAGTGCAAGTTGGCGTCATAATTGTAGAGAATTACAAGGTCAGAGAATTTTTTTAAAAAATTCTTCCACGTTCTAAAGCCATAAACGTCTAGCGGTTGTATAAATCCAGTAGTTCCTGCGGGAATCGTAAGAATTTCGACGTTTTTATTCCCTGTATCTAAATTATCAAATGTTTTTTTAGTTTGACCTGACCAAAAGTCCAACAGAAGAACAGATTTTTCCCCGGTTATTGGCTTTGTACATAGTTCTTTCAACTATTGGTCTAAATCTATCATTTGTTTCATCTGATTCGCAATAAGCGACCATGAAAGCCCCCGAGTAACAAATCTTATGCAAATTTGGTAGATTTTTAAATTTATCGTCCGCCATGTTGGATCCGCCATTTTGAATTTTTAAAATCTGACATCGGATTCGTATTCAGCGACCCCGAAAAGCCCTAAGTGACAATTTTTAGACGATTCTGATGAAGTTTCAATTTATCGTCCGCCATGTTGGATCCGCCATTTTGAATTTTTGAAAACTAACATTAGATTTGTAAAAAGCGACCCCGAAAACCCCCAAGTAACAAATTTTAGGCGAATTTGTCAGATTTTTAAATTGTTTTTTTTTTGGGTCTAATCTAATCTAATCTAATCTATTAACCGAGATCGAGCTGGATTTTCCTCAAGAGGGGAAAGTGAGCCCCTAAGTTATAAAACCCATTGTACCAAACTCCAGCTCGCTCGTTTATAGCAACTCCTTAGAGTCCTGTTCTTCTTCAGAAGTCCAGTATCTCTTCTATCGATAGGTTGCTCACCTGCTTAGGGTCAATAATTGCTTGACCCCAGCTGGATAGCCTGATCCTAGCTAACGCTGGGTATTCTGATAATATGTGAGTCGAAGTTTCGTTACTCTCCCCACACAGTCTGCACATAGGTGAAACTTGTCTGCCTATTTTATGCTGATGGTAATTCAATAGTCCATGTCCCGTAAGTAGACGAACTACGGTTCTAACTCTGATCTTATCGATTTTTAGGAGATCGCTCGCTCGCCTCTTGTTGAGTGCTAGCCCCAACAGAGTTTTTGCTTGCTTTCCCACCCCAACGTTCGCCCAATACTTCTCATACTCCTTTTGACCCCATCTTTCTATGGCTCCCTTAACCAAGCAGGGCATTATTGCCACTGCTGGCTCAGGACCTATAAATTCCGTCTCGGAGCCGATTTTCGCCAGGACGTCTACTCTTTTATTACTCTTAATTCCCCAGTGTCCCGGTACCCAAATCAATGAAAGTTTATTTGCTGAACCTAACTCATCTAGTACGATACAGCATTCCCAGACGAGTTTTGATTCTATTGTGGGATTTTTCAGAGCCCCTAAGGCCGCCTGACTATCTACACAAATACTAATCCTTTTGCCCTTTGTTCCATTTCGAATGGATATTTGGACTCAAGTTAAAATCGCACGGACCTCTGTCTGCCAGACCGTGGCATATTGTCCTAGTGACTCAGCCACTTTAATGCAGCCAGTTTTTCGATAAATTCCGAAGCCTGCACCGCAGTCCATCTTGGAGCCGTCTGTATACCAGACTTCGTCCCCAAGTGGAAAACCTTTCTTCCAGTCCATTCTCGAAGGTGTAATGATCTTAAAGCGGGGTTTAAATTTCACCCTCTTGATCATTCTATCTTGCACCATACTTAATTCTGGTATTGATAGAATTGAGCGTGGAAGCTTGGTGTGTATACCACCAACCTTCCATCTTCCCTGCGCAGTTAACCTGCTCATAGTAAGAGCCGCCTTTTTCACCGCGGCAATATGCAGAGGTACCTCGGCTAGCATGAATCCCAACGCAGCTGTTGGCGTGGTTCTCATAGCTCCTGTAATACCCCTGAAAATCATTGCTTGCAGTTGGTCCAGTTTCTCTTTAACCGTTATCAGTTGAGTCCTAGACCACCAAACAACCACCGCGTGAAGAAACCTGGGTTTTAAGATCATCTGATAGAGCCAGTTTTTGTTATTAATTTTTTTTACAAAGTTTATAATATTTTAAAACATATTTTACTTTGAAAGCCAAAAAAAATTTTTTTATTGAATTGTTAATTTTGTATTATTACAAATAATAAAAATATTTTTTTTATAAAAATTGAATTCCTATAATCAATACTCCTTATAACTAATAAAATAATAATTAAAATTAATAAAAATATAATTTTATAGGTTTACAAATAGCAGACACGTTCGTGCCGGACCATTGCTGGCACAATCGTGCCAGACTGACGGGCTAGCAATATCGCTAGCTGTTGCACACACATTCAGCTGCTTATAGCTGAATCCAGATACATGCCCAACAACGAATCGGTCCGTAACACTGACCCCCCACTACTATGTCTATCGGAGGGGAAATCTCAGTGGTTTTCACACTCTGGTTATAATATTCTGTCAAAATCATAGAAATGTAAATCTAACAGGTTGCACTTTACAAAAAATAATATTAATCGATGCCATTCGCGTTAAATTCTTGGATCCAACGGCATCTTCTACTACTAATTTACTCCAAGTAACAAACAATTTTCATCATAAAAAACGAAGTTATTATAATATATGGTACCACAAGTTAATGATTTCAGGTTATCAAAATTTTTCATTTTTAAATTAATTTTTTGTGATGAAATATAAAATTGAGATAAATACTATCAGAAAAACATTTTCGATTTATTAATTATCTACGCAATATTTTTTTTCCTTAAAAAACTTTTTCTTTATTTTTAGACATATTCTGTATTACACCGTTGTAATGTGTTATTGTTATTGTGTGTTATCATGTGTTATTGCACGGATCCCTTCAAGTTAACTTTTAAAACTGTTTAGAAGTACAATTTTATTTTAAATGTAAGAAATATTTTTTTTAATATTAAGATTAACAATCACTGCAATTTCCCCTCCGATAGACTTAGTAGCGGGAAGGTCCGTATTACGGGCCGATTCGTTGTTAGGCATGCATCTGGATTCGGTTCGATTAATCGGCACGCGGACATTTTGTTATCTGGGTATTAGTATATGTTCGTAGAGTGGAGCGACGAATGGCACTGCTAAGTCGACATCTGGTCTCATCTTGCCCCACGACCCCACGGATATTCCGCAACCTTGCTATTCCACTCATGTTACAGATCATGTCTTACAGATGAAAAAATTAATTTAATTTTTACAACATAAATCTCAAGAATAGTATTAAAATAATTGTCTTTTAATTGATTTCCGATGAACATGGACATAAAACGTTTTAAAAACGGTTTAGAAACGTCTCTAGAACAAAGACGGTTTCGTACCCACAGGGTTAGAAGAATGTGATAAATCTGGGACTCTATTAGTACATAATCTTTTCATAAAAACGAGACATAATGGCTATTTTCGTAAAATTTGACAATATTTAGTAAAAAAAAGAAGTTGTTAAATAAAATCTTCAGTTGGAGTTGATAATTTTTTATTAAAAATGTTAAACATTTATTATAAAATCTGTTATGGTTTATGGTAAAGGTAGTGCTTTAGGTTTTAACATGTGATTATCAGGCTTGTTAACAGAACGATTTCTTGCAGAGTCGATCATATCTTGTTTCCGCTTTTCCTTTTTTTTCTTAATTGCTTTAGAATAGCATGTTGTCACTGCTAGAAAACATACCTGTAAGAAAAAAAGTGTTAATCACTGACAGTTTTGAAAAATAATATTTTGGTATGGAAGAAATAAAAAATGCCGGATTGTATTGATTTAAATTACTTTTTTAGTTAACAGAATCAGATTTCGGTATTACTGCAAACCGCTTTGCGGTTATAAATACCCGGTTTAAGTTTTTCTTAAACCAGTTTTTTTTAAATCTGATTTATTTTTAAACCAGGTTTTTAGGATATACGGGTTCGTCAAACGCCATACCGAATTTAACCGACTCAGAAGTTTCAAAAAGAACTAAATAGATATGAAACTCATCCACTGGTTTTGATGGATGACAATGTCCTAATGTGGTAGAAGGAGCGAAATGCATCATTTCCCCTATTGGCAAAGTTTGCAAGGAAATACCTGGTAATAATGGCAACCAGCACATGACCTAAGCGAGTACCCACCCAGTGGGCACAGGGACGTCTTAAAGACGTCCCTTTTTGTCCGCGGACAATTCGGGGACAATGATTGTAATGTCTCTGAGTCATCAAAAAGACAACTAAAAGACGTCTTAAAGACGTTCTATGTCTGGTCCAAAAGACGTCCTAAAGACGTCTAAAAGACATAAAAAAGGACGTCTAAAGTACGTCTTAAAGCCGTCTTTTAGACGTCTTTTGGACGTCCTTTTTACATTTCTTCAGATCTTAAATAAACATTTCTTTTTTAACATTTTCTAAGTTGAAACTCAGTAATATTGTATTAAATTTATTTTAAGTTTAATTTTATTTTTTATAAAATGTGGAGAAATAATGAAAAAATTCCTACGAAGCTGGGATCGAACTCGGATACCTTGGGCTTGAAACACTGCGCCTTAAGCACTTCAGCCGTTCAAGACAGATATGAACCTCTACAAAGTTAACGATCTCACTTGTCAATGAAATGAATTCAACTTAGAAAAATTCCAATCACTTTAACATTGATTAGTTTCTAAGTCCAAGTTGAACTTAAAAAATAATATTTTCTATTTATGGAAATTTTTCTATTTTCAAATGTTGAATGAAAAAGACGTCTTTTAAACATCTTAAAGACATCTAATGGCCAAGACATAGAACATGTATAGGACGTCTTAAAGACGTCTTTTTGTACAAGTCCAAAAGACGTCCGCAAAAAGACATCTTTAGGACGTCTTTTGAACAAGTGTGCCCACTGGGTAGAGGAGAACGGGGCGAGGCAGCCAAAGGGGTGAGGCAGCCAATTGCTTCTTATTTATGCAAAATTTTATCAAATCGTGCGCTATTGATAATGTAGACTGCTTATGGTAGTTTACTTTAGTTGCTAACAGATGGGCATTATTGCTGCAGCAGTTTAGCAATGACAGTATCATTTATGAAAACATACGTTTTGGATGTAACTTTTCTAAGAGTTATTTTGGTGATTTTAGTTAATAGAGTTACACGAATAAAATTCTTGTATAGTGATTTTTAATGCAGAATTTAGTGCTGAAGACGATGGTGTTAATGGTATTACGATATTTTTAATATTACGGGTTTTGTGGATGTTTTCTTAAAAAAGTACTCGTGGGGTTAGGCAGCCAACACTACATTTTTCGTCATTTTGTGTTGATTTTATTGGTTCTTCTAAATGTTTTCTCTTTTTTTCCTACTCTAATACATTTTAAACTTAACATTGAATTTTATAAACCATTTTTTAAGAAAAACAAATTTATATTTCCTTAAAATGTTAAATTTAATTTAATTAATGTCATTATTATAATATTATTTAAACGTAAATTTTTGAAGTTTACTAACAAAATAAAAGTATATTAAGGACAACTACCTTGTTATGTTTCACTAACTGTAACTTTAAGTTATGTTTTTTTAACTATTAAAATAGTTGGCCGCCTCACCCTACGTTTTTTCAAATATGCCATAATGTGGTCCTTTGGGAAAAGGGTTGTAGAAGTTTTTAAGTGCAACCTACGTCAAAATGTTCTATGGCGATTTTTTAACCAATAAGACAAGCTTTCTAACGCGATATTAAAATTGAAAAAACCTATGTAAATAACTGCCTCGCAAACCTAAATGTGCCATCTTAGCTGCCTTGCCCCGTTCTCCTCTAGTTATGGCCGAAGGTCGAGACATCAGTGATCAAAGGACATGTTTGACTGGAGGACATGTGAATCAGTTATTTTTCTTATCTATGAATAAAAAACATGAAACTTATTTACACCAAGCTTTAACTCGAGAAAAATTTTGTTTTTGAATTAAACGGTTTTTTTGAAAATTAAAAAATTTTGATTTACTTCTAAATTGCTAAATCGATTTTCATGAAAAAAATATATGTTACACAATTCATAAAAACAGTTTTAAAAAATTGGCGACCAAAATTTTCACACATAAATACAATAAAAAAAATTTTTTGGTCGAAAATTTTTTTCCACCACCGTCAATTTCTCTATAAAATAATTATCATCTGAAAAGTAACATATATTTTTTACAAGATGATTGAAAGGGTACTTCATATTTAAAATAATAAAAAACCAATTTTTGGCCCCTATATATTAGTTTCCTATATAATCCAGAGGAAAAAATCTTTTCAATTTAAAACGTCTAAAAAAGGTAATAATATATGCACATTTAATGTAAATATATATATATATATATATATTTTAGTGAACTTTTCGAAAAAATTTACAAAAAAGTAAAACTGGCACTACAACTAAAATTCGCAAAAATATTCAACAATAAATATGAAAAAATCATATTTAAACTGTAACTGCGTTTTTCTCAAAACGCTGTTTTTTTAAATCGGTTGTAGGGATTCTGAGTAAACGGATGGATGTTTCTGTCTAATTCTTTTTGCATATTGTTAAAAAATATGTTCTTTAGTGAGTATACCTAAAAATTTTTTTAAAAAAATGTTTAATACTTTTTTTGAATAAAAAATGTTGCGAAAAAAGGTAATTCTTTTGTTAAAAGTAGTGTTATTTTTTTAAATTTTCATTTTTTAAGGTAATTTTAGGTATAACTACTAGATTAGAACCTCAACTGTAAAAGTTCTTTTGGTTTTTTGTTTTAGACCACTGGGAACGACTCTAGACCTGCAACCGCAAAGCGCCTCAAAATAAAAGCATCGTTTATTACGCCCTCTACAGCCTAACATAATATCAAAATTTTAATTGTTTTTAATATTTTAAATTATACTTTTTATTATGCAAAAAGGCTTTTTAACTTTTATAATAAAATAAGCAAGAAAAAAATGTTGAATTTTGACATATTTTACACACTTTTCATGAGGGATCCCTCTTAATGAAGATGGGTTAAGCCATTTAAGAAAAAATCAAAATTTTTGAATTTCCAAAAAACCGTTTAACTCAAAAACATTTTCATTGATATGAACTAGTGACTGACTTATGCTTTTGAATTAATTAATTTCAATTGTAAATAGTAATTTCTAATAAGTTATTAGTAAAATTTACTTATTCCAAAGCAAAAAATCAGTCACTAATCCCATAATACTTTGATTTTATGGGATAAAATAATAATAATTTAATAATTTTTTGATTTTAAAGGGGCTAAAATCCCATTAGCCTTAGACGCTACATAATTTCCTGCAGATTCCACTTGGTCCTAATTTTATGTGTCTTACATAGGTCCTAAATTTCTACTCGGTCACTCATAGAAATGTTTATGTTTCTCATTTATTAAATCTTAATTAATTCATATTTGGCATTAATTATAAAAAATGTGAATAATTCAACTGCTCCTCAGTGGGCACAGGGATGTCTAAAAGACGTCCCTTTTTGTCCGCGAACATCCGGGGACAATGACAATAATGTCTCGAAGAAAGACTTTTATAACATTTTCTAAGTTAAAACACAGTAATACTGTATTAAATTTATTTTAATTTTAATTTAATTTTTTCTAAAATGTGAAGAAATAATGAAAAAATGCCTACAAAGCTGGGATCAAACTCGGATACCTTGAACTTGAAGCACTGCACCTTAAGCACCTTTCTTTCATTCATTTTAAACAATTTTTAATATTTGTACAACAATAACGAGGAAATGAACAAAATTTTGTTGTATAAAACTTAATAAAATATTTATTTTTCGAACGGGCTATTTAGCCTTCTCGTCGAAGTGTCACTATTTATAATATTATGAAATCTATTTTGCATTCTCTCTTTCTTTCTTTGTAACATTTTTTTAATTCATCATATAAAATCACGATCCAGAAAAGAAGTTAAAATAAAAAACTGAAAAAACTGAATCTTATTCTTTCTCTTTGCGTCCGAAATTGGAAAGAATGTTCATTTTCAATTATGTACTTTATCATTTGCTTGATTTAATTTTATTTTATTTAGTTTAAAAAGGGGCTTTTTAACAACCAATATTTTTTTTATTTAATCTATAGTTTATTAATGTGTCTCTATTTTGCATCTGTTAAGAGTAACGCATCTCAATTTCTGGATCCGTCAGCAAGTCGTCCGAGTTGATGGTAATTACTCTATCCCTCGAATGTCTTAAGATGTGGTAAAGTATAGGAATGTTTTTTGAATCTTGGACATAACCATATTTGTCTAAAAACATGAATGTTTCCGGTGACAGATTCTACAAGCCTTCTCAGTGATACATTATCCTTCGCGTAGGGCAACGATATGAGAGGGTTTGTGTTATTTTTTGAAGCTCTCGCTGTATGTTTGCATATTATCTTCAATATGAATACATCTATCCTTGATATACCTGCATATCGTATAACCTATTCCCTTCCCAGTGGGCAAAAAAGCATCATTGTTTTAAAAACGTTCCAAAAACGTTTTTAGAACGTTTCATGTCTGCTAAATAATGTCCCAAAAACGTTATATGGTTCTAAAATGTTTCAAAAGCAATGGAACGTTTTTTGAACATTATTTTGCAGACATGAAACGTTCTAAAAACGTTTTTAAAACAATGATGGTTTTTTGCCAACTGGGTTCCTATGGGATGTATTATTCATCCCATATAACCTCAGAAGATTACAAATAAA